CTGTGCTGTGCTCCTGCTGTGCCATGCACAGTGCATCGGACCTTTGCACGGGTGAGGGCAGATGGTGCTGACTGCTAACCTGCAGCTCACCCAAGCAAGCTGCTCCTGCTTTAGGATTATTGTAAAGTCAACTCAGCTCTCAACAGTGATTTCAAATGGAAAATAAACCCAGACTCCTCCTGAAAAGCAGAACCTGCTGTTCCATGTGCCAGGCGGTGGGGGGTGAGACCCAGCCTCCGTCTCTGTGATGGGTTGGAGCTGTCGGCACGGGGTGCAGGCATCGCTCTTCGCTGCGGCGCGGAGTCGCCCAACCTGCACCGGAGCAAGAGAAGCCCCAGCCAGGCCGTGTCCTCCCCGGCTCCCCAAGTGCGAGGGGGAAAGTTTTCAGTGAAACTGCCCATCCTCATCGTGATGAATTGACTGGCAGGGTCTGTATGGAGGTAATGAAGCAACGAGCTCTGCAGCCACCAGGATGCTGGGAGCGACCTGCAGCATCTCACCCGAGCCCTGGCCGGGGCAGGGAGAAGGTCCCAGCCCTACCTCGTATTGCTGACCTGTCACTTCAGCTGAAATGCTGCTCAAGGCCAGGAGCATGCTAGGATCAGTAAATTATATAAATATATATATTCCCTGCCAAGCCTGTGTATGGAGCTAAAGCTGTGTTTTCTGTGAGATGCGGTGTCTGATCAGCCTGCTGAGGGTGAGGGCTCAACAGTCCACCCAGAGCAGCTCGTTTATGGGCATGAACATCCCCATGCAATCACCCATGATCTGTTCCTGCATGCATCCTGCAAAAGGGAGTCCAGCTCCCGTTAGCCAGCGGCTCCAGCTTGTGGCAGTGAGACCCTGGATAAATGGAAGTGCTCATCTCCTGCCTTGCTCTGCTGAGCCAGCCCCTGATGCTGGGTGGAGTTTTGATGGGGTCCGACTCGCTCCCCAGGCACGGTCAGCGGACAGAAGGGTCCAGCAGCTGCATTTTCCAGAGGTAGGCTGCAGGGCAAGGGTAATAGCCCCTGTCACTCCACGTAGCCCTCTTCCTGGAGATATTTAGTGCTGAGGCTGGGCTGTGGGGCCAATATCTGGAATGTGATAATGTCGCTCCCTGCATGAGTGAGCAGGACATCGATTGCGGGCTGTCAGCCACCAGCCTGCCCCTCAGACACCACGCGCACCGGGCAGCATCCCGCTCACGGCGTGCACGCTGCCCCCCAATTCAGCAGCCCGTACCCCTCTCCAACGCCCCTCTACGACTGCAGAAAGCATTTGGGACTGCAGCTGGACAGCTTTCTGCATGTGACCTTCAAGGGCCAGATCAAGCACCACGCTGGGTGACGGCTTCACTGGCCAATGTCGGGCTCATACAGTTGCCAAATACAGCTGGCTCCCAGCCCGGTTACAGGCATCTCCCCGCCTCAGTGCCCCGCAAGATCCCCCTCGCTTTGCCTTGCTGCCGCAAGCTGCTAATGACCAGAAGGAGCTGCTTTAAAAGCAAGCAACCTCACAAGCCTATCCACCCCATTGTGCTTAGTTAAGCTATGAAAAGGAAATTAAAGCCTCCCTGGCACCCAAGCATACAGTGGGGGCTCCACCACTCGGAGGGTTGTGCCGATGGTGGCTGCCACACCAGGAAAAGTCACCTGGGATGAAGCACGGGCACAGCCAGCCGAGGTGGCTCTTCCCCGGCACGTCCCCTGCACAGCACCGGCACCAGCCGTGGTATGCACCCCGCTCTCTCGCTTCACCCCGGCATCCTCGGGGGCTACCGCGCTCCACCGGAGGGTAACACGGCGCGTGTGCAGAAATGAGGCACACGGCACCTTCCCCTCGTGGGAAAGGCCACCGGCCCCACGAGCAGGGCTCTGCATGTGCGGCTGTGCCAGGGAGAACAGAAACCCCGTACAACAGATGGGTCCAATGCTGAACACCCCTCCTCACGGCCGATCGCCACG